TGAAAAGCAGCTGAGAGTCCTTGCCACCACCGCAGTTTTTCATCACTCTGCAAGATTCATCCCAATGTAAAGAAATTATTTTTTTTTCTTCCAGCTTCAGGCAGTTTGAAGCTTGAATATGAAAGAAAAGGCAGCAAGTCTAACACGGGGAAAGGAAATGCGTATTTGTATGGCTTGATAGCTCCTAATTAGTTTTGTAATATTTATACAATGCCCAATAGCATTGCCAGATCCCTTTCTGTAAATATAAATGGATACATAAATGAAATCATCCCTTTGAAAGAAGAACAATGAATGCAAATTGAACAGAAATGCTCCCATCTAGACTAGCCAGCTGATTGAAAACTAAGGGTTCATTTTAAAGTGTAGATTTGCTGGTCACTCCTTGCTCAGGGCCACACAAGCAAACCTGCATCTGGCCAAGGCTGCGCTTGAGCACCCACACATTTTTCATAGAATAATTTTCCCTTTAAAAAAGCTAAGCAAACAAAACCTGGCTTTCCCAATGGAAGTCTTGAAAACAGCGCCGTATCTTCCAGTCAACTGAGTTTATAACCAATAGCTCTACAGCATAAAATGGTTAGCTCGCTAATGAAGCGCTTCATGTAAGAGCAGATTTTGTGCTAACATGCACCCAGGACATGTGTACGCTTGCACATACAATTTTAATGCTCAGTGCTAATATAAGAAGCAGTATTTTCAGCCTAGATAAGCCTGTGTATGCGCTCCAAAACAGCAAGCAGCGTGGTTATGCTGCCATCAAGTGGATAGCTGCCCTACACATTGCTGAATTTTAAATGTCTTCCGGGAGTGGTAAAGATAACTGTATTTCAGGGCTGTACTAAAACTTTTGGAGTTTCTTAAACACTGTACTGACAAATGTCTGCAGTCTCCAGCTGATAAATTATGTGTTTGCAGAGTAATGGCACAGATTCAACTGTATGCACTCTCAGGATCTCTGGCAACTTTCAGTCACCGTAATAACATGGGAAAAATCTGTTTGTATACTCTTCAGATGTCTGACCACGTCATATTTAAAATCCCAAATTATATCAGATGCCTGGCAGCCCTAGTGGTAGCTAAAGTGGCTTGGGTCCTTTCAAAATGATGGCGAGAGTGGAGCTCCAAGGACCCTAGCCCTTGTGAGGACACAAAAAGATTTTTCAGTATCTACACGCTGACAGAAAATCACCAAAAATTCCCTATGAACTGCTGGCCAAAAGTTCAGTTATGGTCCAAAGGTTTAGCTCTAGTGAGCATGCTCTACTTCATACAAGTTCTGGGGGAAAAAAAAGGCAGACTCGCAGCTTTTTTCTGGCATCCTACAGCAAAGTTTATCAGAGCTTCTGTCTTTACAGCCAATTCCCACTGAGTGAAAAAATGCAGCTCACTGAGTCATTTTGGTTCTCTTAGCCTGAAAAGGTTGCTTAAACCACTGTCCCCATTTTTCAGAATAGTTTCATGGAACAAACGAGCTTTATGCTTTTTACAACATTTATTTCTCAGATAAGATAAATGAAATATCTTTTAATTTTTTAAAGGGGAAGAATCAACTTTTTGCCTCCATTCACAAAGCTATTTTCTATAGAGATTAGGGAAATATGAAGTACATTTGCTAGTGCTTTTTCACCACACTGCTCTTACAAAAAAAAAAAAAAAAAAAAAAAAAAAAAAATCATTTAAAAGTGGAGATACGGACAATACTCCCCTCTAGGGGCAGAATCAGAATTTGCAACATTCAATTCAGCAGTGTATCATTTGTAAACCAAATTCGCGAAATAAACCAAATAGGGCCTACCAAATGAAAGACAATCAGAATTATTAAGTCGTTCCCTGCAGAGAACGCTGCTGCCTATGAAATCTGTCTAAAGACCATGCTGTGTTCCTATATTCATGCAGAAGAGTTTTAATACTGCACGTATACAGAAGCCCATACATTAGATTTCCCTAGCAACATATATCCCATCAACTTCTGACCTAGACAACATATCATCAAATGCAATATGCAAATAATTTTTCTTTATAAGTAAACACATGTATCATGAAAATGTATGTACTGACAAGTGCTAAAGCTGGAAGTCTGCTCAGCTGATCACACTCGGTATATTTGGAAGTCAAATAAGATGGAAGGTCAGCATCGGCTCGGCTGCTTTCCTCCTCTTCATTCAGGCAGCCAGATGCGAGGTTGCAAAAGCAATTCAGGCATCTCCGTCAATGACAGAGGGTCCAATCCTCCCCGCACGGATTACTCCTACGTACAGTCTGGGAAGCTCGCAATTCCTCCTTGGAAACAAGGGGAATGCAGAGCTAACAGAGGGTTGTCTCCACATCTCCAGATCCTGAGAACCAAGCAAGCCTGATGGGAGCTACAGGAGATGGGGCTCAAGCCCCGGCCAAGACCCAGTATCTTCAATCAGTGCACCACCGCCGAGACAAGCAGCTCTCTCCTCAAAAAGCCCAATGCTGCCCGTCTTCTCACGGAAAGCCATGCTAGGTAGTGCTGATGAGCTGTTACCTTCGTGGGGACTTGAAAAGGGCTGGGCGGCAGCTGAAGGGCCTGGCTGCATGTCGCAGTCACCTCTGCACAGGTTGGGACGGGATCCTCAAGCCACCTCGTGGCGGAGCATCACTCACGCTGCTGAAACGCCCATCATGAAAAACTGCTATCCCTAAAGTAGCACAGCTCCATGCACATTACAAAAGCAGTCTCCTGACTTGTGTTTAAACAGAATAGCATAGACACTCTTTTATTTTTAAAGTTATTACTTGCAATAGTGGAAGGCAAGCTATTTAAAAAGCTTTGCGCTCCATTGCTTATCACATCCACCATGGTTAGTGGGAATTTATTTCCACACACATGCACACCCACACACAATACTCTCCCCCAAAAAAAAAGTTATGTTGCATGTTTTTTAGGTTACAAAAGCATTCTGTGTCTTTCTGTAGCCTACAAAACATCAATCCCAAAGAGCTTTCCCTCTGTGAAAACCAGGAGAAAAGGGACTGAGCAGGACGATGAGAAAGTCTGTGTCAAACCCAAATTTTTCTCCAGCTGCATATGCTGAGCAGGGCACTGTCTTTTCCTCAATACACCTACAGCCTGTGGCACCTGATGTGACAATATTCTGCCATGGTCACAGGAGAGGCACCTCTGCAGAGTAACTCGGATTCAGCAGCAAGCTCACCTAGGTCTCGCTCACCCAGGTCTCGCTCTGCTACCTTGGGTAGCTCAGCTCATTGCCTCATGAATCGGTGCTTCGCTGCTTTTCTTTAACACTGCAAAACCCAGTGCTTGCACACAAATAGCATGCCAGCTGCGAATCTGCCACACGATGTAATGTTTTGCTCCAGGCTGACCGCGAGCCTGATCTGGACTTTACTTACATAAGTAATTTACACAGATAACCTGGAATTGCCTCTGCAGCAGTCTCTGGAGTGGTACTAGTGTAGTCCTAGCAGCAGTGAGACTGGTTTTAAGGACGGCGTTACAAACATCTTTGTGAAAATAAGTTTCTCTGATAGTTATTCTGACTTTTATTCATTTAAGCGTGTATGTGTATCCTCACATAGTTTCAGTTTACTATTGCAGAGATCACTAACTTGGGGCTAGTAAGAACAGTAATTCACACAGCAGAGGAGCAAATGAGTGGTTTTTTTCCTTCTTTTAAACATGAACTCTATCATGTCTAAGTCTTTTTAGCGTTAGTGCAGTTACAGCTGTGATGGTCTAAAGCTGTAAGGACTTACGTAAGGATATCTTACTTCTCCTAAATCTCTTTTCCTTTCAGAAGAAGGGATTTAAGGCTAGGGCGAAAATAAATAAACAAACAGAACAGGTCGAAAACACCTGAAATAAAATCTGGGAAGCTCCAGGTGCCTGTGTACGAGAGCGTAATCCCCTTGAGCCCCAAAAAATCTTAACCACTGGGCCCCGGGAGCGAGCTCGGGGCTCGCCCTCCCAACATGTGGCACCGGGTGGCCGTCGGCTGTGCCCCGCAGAGCCGGCCCCGCAGCAGGACGGGGCGCCGGTGGGAGCTCAGCTCCCCCCCCTCCCTTCGTTGGGGGCTGCCTGCTGAAAACCCGGGCATCTCAGCACCTAACTTCAGGCTCCGGAGCACTTTGCTGGGTCTCAGGCACCATGCTGGGCTTGTACATGATAAGCTCAGAATAACACTTTCTTGCTCGGTAGTTTTTCCTTTCATCTCTTTTCAAGTGTTGCCCATATGACTACACTCTCGGAGAAAACCCTGTTGAAGATAGACGGCAGTCTTAATTACTACAGGCTAATTACTTTTAATGAGCAAACTGCCATACACCAATGTGGGATTTGGCCTGAGAAGAATTTCAGACAATCCTCTAACATCACCGATATTGTATCTTGTATCTAGGTTATGCAATGATGAACCTTGACAGTATCTTCTAACCAGATGAGGAGCACAACCCCGAAGATCTAAGACACGAACTTGCTTCTCTGCCAATATAATGTGCCAGCTTTGTTTTCAAAGTACTTACTAAAGCAGCTTCACAGTGCTGCTAGCTTATTTCATTTATCCCTATGATGATTTGCCTTTTAGCACTACTAGTGAAATTGAAAGAAATAATAGTAAAAGCTCCAAGGATTCAAGATGTACTGCCCCAGAACAAGATCTCAGTTTCTGGCCTTGGAGACAGTTCTCCTGCAATCAGCACTGCAGCTGCAAATAAAAACAGTAAAAGAACAGATCTTCATAAAAAAGCTGGACTGAATCATCAAATCTGTTGAGAATATGCCTTCCATTTAATCAAAGGAAATATTTAAGCACTAGCAGTATTCAGAAGCTATAAATTAATTGGTACTTGTAGGCAGCAATTATGTTTTCCATTTTTCTTGATATTCACATAAATATGTGTGAAAGATTTGTTGCCTGGCTCTACTATGAGTGGGGGAAGTGGCGCTCCCCACAAGTATTTGCAGAGCTAGCTGGGAATCAGCGTCCAAAGAAATCGATCCCGGTTATTACCTCATGGTATAGAGCAGAGTGCCGTCATCCTCCAGGCGCAGAAGTTTGTTTGGGGTTGTCATGTTGTGAGCAATAGACTTCTTGCCATTGTGGAAGAAAGTGTCTGGGGTCCAAATCTTGCTGGCAAGCAGATTGTTAAGAGGGAGGCGTTGCATAGGTCCTTTGAATCGCAGCCTTTCGTCTTTCCAGCTTTGTCGGAAAAAAACGTCAATGGTGTATTCCTAGCACAAAGAAACAGTCGAGGTATTGCAGGATCTGAATAGAAGCGATGGTTCCAAAAATGACTTTAGCAAAGTAAATACAATGGAGTTGGGAGCCACGCGCTCGAACTTACCATTTCTGTGTCTGACACAGGACCAAAACTGGTAACATAGATGTCTGTTTTCACCTGAGTTATTCTCTCTGTAATAAATATAGGCTCTGCATTAGTAATTGCTTTGAGATGCAAATATGTGCTTGTGATGCATTTCTCTATTAACAATTTCTGACTCACTCAAAAATCCCCAAAAGCTTGAAATTAAGATGATGTTTGAGGAGGAATTTCATCCCTGATCAAATGCAGCTGTCGACCTTTGGGAGCCCAGGCTCTCTTATAATCAGTGGAAAGAAACAGGCCCTTCAAGGGTGCAATTCCTCTGACCGACAGGTTTTGATCATAGATCATAGAATCACAGAATGGTTTGGGTTGGAAGCGACCTTAAAGATCATCTATTTCCAACCCTCCCTGCCATAGGCAGGGGCACCTTTCACTAGACCAGGGTGCCACTAGACCAGATTGCTCAAAGCCCCACCCAATCTGGCCTTGAACACTTCCAGGGATGGGGCATCCACAACTTCTCTGGACAACCTGTTCCAGTGCCTCACCACCCTCACAGTAAAGAATTTCTTCCTAATATCTAGTCTAAATTTACCCTCTTTCAGTTTGAAACCATTACCCCTCGTCCTGTCACTACACTCCCTGATAAAGAGTCCCTCCCCATCTTTCCTCTAGGCCCCCTTTAAGTACTGGAAGGCTGCAATAAGGTCTCCCCGAAGCCTTCTATTCTCCAGACTAAACAACCCCAGCTCCCTCAGCCTGTCCTCATAGGGGAGGTGCTCCAGCCCCCTGATCATCTTCGTAGCCCTCCTCTGGACCCGCTCCAACAGGTCCATGTCCTTCTTATGCTGGGGGCCACAGAGCTGAACAGAGCACTGACACGAGCAGAGGGGCAGAATCACCTCCCTTGACCTGCTGGCCAGACTTCTTCTGATGCAGCCCAGGATGCGGTTGGCTTTCTGGGCTGTGAGCGCACATGGCCGGCTCGTATTCGGTACCTACTATAGGATGCGATGAAGTGTATCTTGGAAGGACCTATTCCCCTCTGCTGGCATGGGTGATCTGCCCAATTTCAGACATCTATATTATAGATGTCCAAAGTTAGGTGAAATTAATTCTACCCTCAAGACTCTAAGTCTTTCTGGCATCTTTTCAAATCCAGGACTAATTTAATTTAAGGGCGGAAAATTCAGAAGTTCGTTACATAAGATATGAGCATCGAGCCCTATTTTCAAGCATCTCTGTGTAAAGTGAGAGGAGAAGGAGAGAAAGGGATGAAAGCAATGTGTTGGTCTCACAGGAGGAAGGGGTGGGGGTAGCCAGATTAAAAAAGGGCCAGGAAGAAACATAACAGATGGTTTACACATGGGTAGAAGATGAGAGAAATCTGGGGGATAGAGAGCTGAAGGAGGGCTCAACAAGGTTAGGATGGCAAGCAACTATTCACGTTATGGTTTTAAAATAGCTGCTGTAGAGGTTACCAAAACGACATATCAATACAGATTCGCTGCAGCTGTCTAAAAACGGATGGTTTGGGGATCTGTTTTTAACACAGATTTTTGTCGCCAGCATAATTTTATACATGCTGACCAGTTAGGGAACCCTGCAGCAACCTGCTAGCTCCCTGTCTCGCTCTGCTTAAAAGAGTACCAGAAAGAAAAGAAACCCAAACTATATTCAATTACAGCATCACGTATGCTCTCCTAATCCAGCCTCAGATGACCTCGATGACTGGAAGCAGAAGACTTTCAGTGACCTTTGTACTGGGCCCCACTTGCCAGGAGACCAGTCTATTTTCTGGGCTTTGTTTAGCTAATGAACACACAACTCCCTCGTCAAGGCCCGTGCCGAGAGCAGGTACCCATTCGGGAGGGCATCATGTAGACGATGGTCCCGCACAGCTGGGGACTGGCCCCAGCAAACGCATTATCCTACCTCCCAGTCCCGGGCGCAGTCGGTTGTCGTAGCCGTCCAGCAGACCGTCCAAGATCCTGGTGAATATAGTGATGTTATCATTGGCGTCCTCTTTTCCCGATGCTGTTGGCGTTTGCGAGAAGCTATGTCATGCAAACGAAAAGAAACATGTCAAAAGCCGTCCCGGCCTCAAGGGGCTTCGGCCTCAAGGGGCTTCAGTCTCAAGGGAACTCTGCGCCCGGAGCTTTTTTTTTGGAGCCTCCGAGCCTCTGCCCTCTCCTGCCGCTCCAGCTGCGGCGATTTCTTCACTGCTGTAAGCAATCACAAACAGCTTTCCCTGGAGGAGGAGGACCCAAGGAAGGACCCGTGCCGTGGGGGTACAGCCCCGGGGCGCTGGACCGGGGGACGCCTGAGCCCACTGACCCTCTTGCCGTAATGCCGTAACGCCCGTCCCCCGCCGCTGGCCTGCCCCACCTCAGCCCCACCACTTCCCCGCCGCCGGCACGTCTCCGTCCCCCTCAGGGAGCAGGGTCAGCTCACGGGGCCAGCAAAAAGCTGTTACTGGTTGTATCCCGGGTTGGCTCTCCAGTCTTTGGGAACTGCACCAGCTGGCAGGGGAGCGGCACGAGCAGCACGGGTTTGCCTGGGGACGCTCCTTCGAGCCTGCCGGAAGGTAGCCTTTAATCCTCACACGCCAAACAGCTTCTAATTTTCACAGTTTATGTAATTTGTTCCCAGAACAACGGATGAACTCTACCCTTACTTGAGGATAACAAACTCCCACTGCATTCAAAAATCCCACCCCAGATCACTGGGGTATCTGAAAAAACATACTACGGTACAGAAAACACAGTTCTTCATTCCACCTCTCTCTTTTGCTTAAATTAGTCCTCCCTTGTAGTATGCAAATAACAACAACTTCTAGTGGGCCTCGTTCCATATCTTTTGGGCCAGATTCGGTTTTATTCCAAAGTCTTTTTTATTTCAGTGAGATATGTACAAAAGTATTTCAGATATGGTTGTTTAAGCCCACAAAACATCATTGATTTTTTATTTTAAACTTGTCTGCTCAGGTATCCATGGCTCGGGCCTAGGAAGCCGATTCTCCAGCTCACAGCACAACTATAACTTGCGTTTTTAAGTCCATTTGATTTTCATTTAAAGACGCTCAGGAGAATCCCCTGCCTACTAATGTCTTTGCTTACCTAAAGAACAGACATATAAATTTATCCATAAGCATGCTTCACCTGCAAGCAATGAGCATCTCTTAAGACAACAAGTTTGCTCACACTCAGTGCTCATTCAAGTTTCAGTCTCTGCTGAAATCGCCAACAAATGCTCCAGCTGCGACAGGGCACATCGCCCCACTAAGAACCGTACCCTGCCTCATGCACCCTGCCGGCAGACAGGAATCACTTTCGCTCCAACAACCTGAACTCGACGTGAGCCAGTCACCCAGAGATAAAAATAGGAAAAAAAAAAATCTGTATTTATTTACTACCCGTCCCCAGGGAAATAAATCAGTAAATAAAGAGAGAACCTCAAAGCATCCCTCTGAACAGCTTGCCTTGCAGAATGCTTGTAACATATGCGCTAGGCTTACCTAACAGAACAGGGTTTGTACAGAGAAAGACAAGGGGCCTCAACCTGGTTTTCCCTGCACAAGGTTTACACTAACGGGACCTTTCTGACACCCATGTAATGGGTCTGGAAGTCTTAAGTGACAGGAGACCTGGCTCAGGATGAGCTGCTGGTGGCCACGTAGCCCCTCACAGACGCGGGGACCCCCAGTCCTGCGCCTGTTCCCTTTACAGCTTGCGTGCTTCTGCTGGAAAAGGAAAGGATTACAAAGGAAAGGGAGGCGAGGCCGGGCGGTGGGAGCACGGGTCCGATTCCCAGGAACACCAAAGCACATGCAAACGCCTGGCCGAGGAGGCTCCTTGCGGCCCGAATGGCACCAGCACTACTGCGACCCTCAACAAGCTCCACTCTGGAGAGCCCAAGGCCACCAAGGAGCTCCCCTTCACTGCAGGCGGAAGCATAGCCGCAAATCTCGCCCATTTTTCAGGCATCTCTCCATGATCAAAAGACCAAATTAATTCTGTTTTCTATGCTGTGACCACAACCTCTAGTGACTAACTGAGGCAGACAGTATCACGGACATGTTTGACTATAACGAAAGACAGTTAATCTAGCAGATGCAAACCAATTACAGAAACATTAGACATCCTTGTGTGCCGGACCATTCAAGACAAAAGACTGTACACGTTTTTTGTCAATGGTAATCAAAGGGATTCACCACGCGAAGGTGAATATTTACAAGCAGCAGCCTACCGAATACAAACAGGAGACAGAAGTTACAGAGGTTCTTCATACGCAGTGACCATAACTAACGCTTTGGTAAAATCCTAGAATACTATTTTAAACTCTTCTCATTTATTTTAGCTTCTTTTTTTTGTAAGAAAGAGATATGTATCATGCTGTCTGCCTGCTTCGCTATATCAATGTAGGAACCCGTTTTCATTTTCCAATGCATCTGACAAAGAAGCAGAGAGATCAAACTTCATTTTATTCCTACAAGTTTCATGAGAAGCAGTGACTAGACAAGGGGAGAGTGATCTAAATTAGTGCCTCATTAAGTAAAAATGTGAGGTCAGCAGTCATCTATTCCCTCTGGCTCACTGACTGGGCCAGTCAGCACGCATGTAGCTCAGAAACAGCCTCAGCAAAACCAGCCCACCTCCTCTCTGCTAATTAAGAGATATAGAGGAGACTTTCAGGGTGATTAGGAAAGATCCTGGGAGAAAAGGACCGCAGAGGTAAAATGTAGTTGTTGCAATGGGAGATGGGAACAAGGGATGCCAAATGCGGAGCCAGGATTATTGCAAAGGTACGGTGCTGGGGGCACAGGATACAAAGCATCACTAGTTTCTCTGCTCTTGAAAAAGCTTGTTATTTTTAGTGCTTATGGCTGAATTCAAAGCCAATTGAACTCAGAGGGAAGATTTCCATTGAACTATTTTTGTGGGGATGGGACAAAATATACTTAGTTCTCATAACTGCTCCTCTGAATCGAACAAGAGTAATTGATGCAGCTTCCTTCTATCTCATGTACATCTTTCACGAGAATAGTATACACACCTCAGATGCTGAAATACTTTTCTATCTCCACAAGGAAAGTTAATTAATAAATGAAAAAGATGGAGAAACAACTAGGGTGAAGACTTATAAAAAGTCTGCACTTCATCTGCAAAACTGCAATCCAATTTAGATTTGGCAGATTGCTTCACCCGAAAAAGAAGGCATCTGATGCTGAATTTCGGAGAAATGTCAGTATCATGTGAAGTTGCATTTGTAGATGGATTACTGTTTGCCATTAATGCAAACGATACTTTTTCTTTCACAAAAAAGTTAGCGCTTCATTTATATTTTTGAGATTGCTGGTGAAACAGCAACTCACGTTTTGGAGTAAGTGCTGAGGTTGTCTTTTATGACATGAGACCTTTAAACTGTACTTGCAAAGTTACGTGCATATATTAGATACTACAGCTCTATGAATACTGAGAAAACAGGTGATATCCTAAATTATTTCCACACAGCTAAAGATCAGGTTTTATCAACATATTAGTAGGTAAGCACATTATTGCCCCTCTGCAACCAAAGATGTTTTTACAGCAGACATTTCCAGTTACGGATAAAAATAAACCTAGAAAAGAACCTTAGGAAAATGCTAAGAAAATTCAAAGATAATTACATTTAAAGCTCATTACTGAACATAAACTAAACCAACCAGGAATACTTCTCATCACATTTATTTAATATTGCAATTTCGGGATGACTGAAAAAATCAGAAGCCACAGAAGGGGCCCATCAGCGTAAAATGTAATAACACTCTAAAGATTCTCAGCTACCTCTTCCGAGGAGTTCATCGTTTGCCATTTTAAACATCACTGTCTTTTTTGCCATCTAGTCAAAATCATGACAGGTACTATTCATAGCTTAGTTGTAATAAGAGGAAAACGTATGGTAGATATTTCGTGATTTCCCCAAAACTTTAAGGAAAAAAAAAGTTAAGAGACACTGGAAAAATAACTGAGGAGTATTTTGTGACGGAAAGTTGTATTTTTTTTCCTCTCTCTTTTAAGAGTAGAGTTTCCAATAGCTTGCTTTAATAGGATTGGAATTATACCAGAACTTCAGACAAATTAACAGTTTGTGGAAAAGACAGTGGAGAATGCACTTGCACACTTTTGGATACTGTCAGCTGGCCAGACGTCAGAGGATTTACTTTTCTAAGCTAGCTTCTTACCATCCCTTTCTTACAGATTCTTGAGACATGAAAATGCTGATATTTTGTGAATTTGTGCAATGAAGATTCAATTCTTCCACATCGTTAGGATAGGGGAGAGAACTGACTGAAAATAATGAAACTTTAATGGTCTTGGCAGATCCTTAAAGAATAATTTAATTCCTTTATTTAGCAAGAGCAGTGTTTTACTACCTTCTGGGAACGAGCAATTTGTGAGCAGTGCAATGAAAGCCTGTTTTTCATAGGGCACCGTCTTATCGTCCTCACCCCCTTGCACCTTAACGACCCTTTCAATATCCTGAATTTCTCCCAGTAATTAAACACCTCCCAGTACTCTCAGCTCCTCAAGTCACCGACCTGCAGCTTCACTAGGAGGCAAGGCGTGCCAGGGCTGATCCTGCACCGAGCACGTGCCGGATGGCCCGCAGGTACGCGCCTGCTATTTGGCCAGCCGGCGGGCCAAGCCAAACAGAGATGCTGAAGCCGTAGCTTTCTGTTCGGCAGAGGGATTGACTGATGGCTGTCTGCCTCCTCCAAGCAGTTCTAGGTAACCACTTAGTTTTCCAATTATTAAAATTGTCTAATGGGTTCAAAAAGCTATCTGGAGACATGGAGAAGGGAAGTAAAACAGAATAAAAAAAATAAATGGATAAGCATGACTGCGTAAGCATATGATAATTCTTACAACATTAGTCTTAAAAATATGAGGAAGAACTCCCTAGCATCTGCAAGTACTTGGAAAGGGATAACCTAGCAGAACTAACTGCTTAGGGCTGCAGAGACTAACTTGAAATAACAGCCTGAAGGAGAGGTATGTTTAGCCTAAATAGCAGGATTATGGTCTTAGTGATAAGGACTGTGAGCTAGTGGAAAAGTATGTGAAACTACAGACACGCCACAGACTGAATTCTTACAGTGTACAGAGAAGCCTTGCGTTGGCTACATTTAATTGGGATCTTCTGTTTTCCGTGTTTCCACTATTATAAATATTATTAGCAGATGGCAACTAAACTGTGGTTACACCAACAACATCTGTCCCCATTGGTTTCGGCTCTCGGACAGATTTCTGAAATTGCACATCTAAAATGCAAACGCACAGGGACTGTGCGTCACCAGCATGTCCCCAGAGATGTCCCCGTGGACAGTCTGGGGCTTGCAAAAAGAGTCAGGATGCAGTAAGGTTGGCCGGGGCACGGGGCCGACCACGTGCTACCTCATCTCAGGGAGATCTCGGTGCAGGCAGTCACCCATCGCGTCGACCCTCGCGGGGCTGCAACGGCATGGGCTCCCCGAGGGCCAGAAAGTGCAAGATGCTGGGCATTGCCACAGCACCCGCGGAGCCTGGCAGGACAGGACCCTGCCTACATTGATTTCCTTCCCCGACTGATGCGCTCAGCCTCACAGCATCGCTCCTGCGGGCATCAGTCTGAAGGGAGGAGAGTCCGAATTATTTTGCACTTCCACTGACCCCGTGCCAGGAGAGCACCCACCTTCTGCCTGGTTTTGTCAGCCTGACCCTGCGGGCCTTGCACTCATGAAACCGAGACTGAATTCAGCGCAATCCTTCACATAAAACAAATGGGAGGAATCAGCCTCTCGTCTCACCTGAAAATACTCTTCATGGTTACATTTGACTTTTAATTACTCTCTAGCTCTATTATTAATGTTTACTTTCAAGACAATTGTGACCTATCCTGCAATGCTCCAGCAAAATACCTTAACTCATTAGAGCATTATACAACTCAAGGCTGAATTCAAGCAAGCTTGAAAAAGCCTTGACTCGTGCTGGACTTTTTGTGCCGAGGTAGACTCATAAAACTGTCACACCAACAATGGTGGGGGGCATCGCATCCTCTTCTCGTTTCATCTGTATCTTTGAATTTTAATTCAGTGATTTTTCTTTAAATAACTGCTACCAACTATGCCTACAGTCCTTCTCTACTGCCTATTGATGTGGATAACTCTCGATAGTCATTTCACATTTATGTTAAACATTAATCACAGACTTTTGCAGAGATTTCTGAAGTAGCCTAGGAGACTGAGATACATAATTCCTGTTTATTTTACCAGGCATTTTGCATGAAAATCCCCCAAGGTGGCTTTGGCTATGTCAGCAAAAACTGTATTTATGATTTACTATAAACATGGAGTGACTATGGAGAATTGTAGACAAATCTCTGCCTTCATCTGTAATGTCCTACTGTATTTTGGTTTTTAATTTGTGCTCATTTGACCAATCACTTTTATCTAGCACATTGCAAAACGCACTGCAATGTAACAGTGCAGTCCGAACATGGATGAAACTAATAAAGAAGAACCTGGTAGCAACAGCAAGTATCATCAGTATTAGATTCTTGCAGTTAATATACCAGCCTACATGTAAATTGTACCGTTCTGTCCTGAAGAGTCAGTCCCAAAGCACTTAGCAAATTACACTCTGAAACTGCTTCTGCCTCTGAAACAGAAGCGCTGGAGCATCCTCTGTCTTTCGAGCAGGGTCAAAATTCAGCCCTAAGGCAGCGTGTGAATGGTGCAGTGAATTGGAGCTGCTTATCTCTGCAGGCCTGACTAAAATCACTAGATCAGAAACGGGGGGCACGAGGGGTGGGGGAAGAAGGAGAGGTTACGTGATGATCTCATTTTAGTGCACAGAAGCTTTTTGAGTAACTTGCAGAAAACAAGTGTCCTAGTTCCCCCTAACTGTCCTGTTCTGATTATCTGCCGGGTTACAGGTCACACCGATTCCTACCTGGGACTTAGATTCAGTATTTGCTTTGGAGTCGAAAGGGAGAGTTAAACCCTCTTTTTTTGCAGCCTCGCCCATCTATTTTTCTGTTAGAGGAGTAACACAGTTAAAAGAGCCCACACCAAACAGGTCATGCTCAACTATTGCAATGTGCTGCTTTCTGCAGGGATGATGGACAATCAGGAAGGACTTAAGGTTATAGTCCTCAGGATTTTCTCAATGTGGTAATACTTTGTCAAATTACAACCACGCCAAGACAAGTTTAAAACCAGTCCCACACTATCTATGCCCTCTTCATTTCTATCACAGAGTCCAGGGAGAGTTTTGCCTTAGACCACAGTGAAAGCAGGACCAAGCTTTTCCAAGGTGAGTAAATCAGTGTGCAGCTCTTTGCATCCTTTGCAGTGTGCTGTCCTACGACCGTTCAACTGTGGTCACAGGCTCCCACCTGCCTTCGTAGGACACACACTGGAGACAGGGCTAAGTTTTGCTTACAGCACAGACAGTCATCACTCAAAGTTTTGTCTTTCTCCTAGTTCTAGTCTGGAAAAAATCACTTTGCTTGAAATCAGAAACTGATTTGCATCTCCATTTTGTATCTTCTTATAGCAAGGAATTGATGGGTGTGCTTGTGAATCAGCACGTTGGGAGGATTCATTTTCTTCTGGTGAAATCATAAATAATTGTTCTCCTCCACAAAGAAGAATCAACCTACGTTTCCAGAGCACTTGCGAAACGCTTTTTCTAGACTTCATTGCATAGCCCGATTTTGGAAAGTTCTTAAGATCTCTGGGCTTATGAAAAAACATATAAATAGGGGGTTTCTGTTTGGTTTTGTGTTTTCTTTCTTTTTTTCCTAAGAGCTATAGTAGGAGTATTTCTTCAATACGGTTTTCAGAATATCACCGTCAGGAAAGCATCCAAAGCAAAAATCAGGAGACAGGATTCCTTGCTATATGCTTCAGGGAAACACAATTTCTAAATATTTTAGCAAGTTTCAAACTCAGCCATCCTTCCGAGCAGTCACGATCTTAGCTTACTCACTAGGAAAGCCTGTACCAGCTAGCAGCATGCACCGAGTCCTGCTGTTCCAGTCTTGCACTACTGCCTATAGCCTGCACCCGCCAGGTGAGGGGGAAGGTGCAAGCCCCCCTCATCGCAGCTGCGGGGGCAGGGAGCTCCGCAGCCCCTGGCTGTGCTACGCCCAGGTCAGAGCGCTCAGCAGCTGTAGGCCTGGCCTGGGCTCCTCGTGCCCCCCAAGCCTTCCCGCAACAGCGTTACGGGCATAAAGAACCAACAGGAGACAGTAAATTGGAGCAGGAAAGCATATTGCTGCCTTCCCCCTGATACCAGCACGTTAGGATGAAATGCAAAGCCCGCTTGTTTTGTTCGGCTGCTCCGCACCACACCGAGCCAAGGTTTTTCATTTCCTTAAAAAACCCACAGCAAAAATTCAAACGCAATTAGCAACTTACCCGAAGTGGCTGGCTAAACTCATGGAAACGCAGAAGAGGAAGAAGTTTTTGATCATGATAAAGCCAGAGACCATCCCATTGTCCATTCCAGAGGAGAGGAGGAACGCAGGTGGTTGCTTTGGTAAAGGTGCAGCTGCTCACTTTGCTCTTACGCTGCAACAACACAAAAAAAAAGATAAATTATTACACGGACAAACAGCAGGATAGCCGAGTTCAGCTAACACCGCATCTTCTGCTATCTGTGTTTTTCACAAACTTATCGAGGCTTATGTAAACATCAGCTGTTTATGTAAAATTTTGTATCTTCAAGGACATGTTTTACCTTCTGCTGACGGCAAACTGCAACACAGAAAAAATTCTCAGTGGCCCAGTTTTCCCTTATATTCGCCCGTCTTATAAGTAACTAAAGAAATAGTAACCATTTTCCAAATGCCAATTTCGACCCTTTACCTATTTCAACAACTTCCACATGCCTGCAAACCTAGCGCTGTGTGCAGCCTCCGCATCCCTTCCTTCCATCGCAATTTTTTTCCCATTAAATACCCGGCTTCCCTTTCCAAAATCCCAGTTGAAATGCCAAGAAACACCTACTGCTTCTTGGAATTCACACTGCTGATGCACGGCTTAGCAAAAAGAGGGTGGGATGGGGCGGCGGGGGGGGGCTAAAAAGTGACCTTCCTCGCAAAGGCACATAAACCTCACGCTAGCATGAAGAATAACAGTAAT